AGCAGCCTGAACTGAAGCGCAGTCGTGAGGAGGTTGTCTCCATCACCGTCACTAAATGTATCATTTTGGCGACGACTCGCTCCGTCACAATAAAGCTGTTGGAGCTGCTCTCCAATCTCCGTTTCGAAATGGTAACCGATCCCCAGCCGCTCCACCACATCGATCAGATGCAGCTTCTCAGTTGATATCATCATCATCGCCTTAACCTCTTCCTTCAACGCTTCTATCCCCTCGGTCCACCCATCTACGGTCTGCCAAAAAGGTGAAGTGAAGGTGTTTGTTGGATTCACTCTCAGCTAAAAAAAAGAGGAAGAATGGGAATCATTAGTGACGAGAATTACCTCTTGGTCGCTAAAGACATGGGTGATGAAGAAGTCTCCCCATACAGTTGCCTTGAAGTCTGCTTTCTGCCGCCCAGGAGCGCTGGTTTCAGTGTTGGAACTGTTGTTGCTGGCCATATCTCGATCAAACAGATGATATTTAGAGTTGCAGTTGCAGGTGGTGGGGATTTGATGAGGTTTGTGCGAAGCTCGAGTTCTGTATCCAGTTTCTTTATGTATAGGGAAATAATAATGCCTCGATCGAATGCATATGATTCTTTGTTATTTTTTTTTTCCTTGGGTTTTCAAAAGGATTGAAACTAATATTATTATATATATGGACTATTTGTTGAATTGTAAATTTATAATACGTTAATAATTTCCTACCCATCCTCTGATCCTCGTGTTCCTAGCCCGCCTTTCTTTATATTTTTTTACATTATCTATCCACATGCAACCCACCCACATTCCATTGATGTGATGAGTATATGTTGTAAAAACTCATTCCCTTCAACATTTCAATCATCGATATCTTCAATATTATAATTATCTCTTATAGGGCTGTTATTTCGGTTGCCGGTTAGCGGCTAACCGGTCGGTCTAACCGTTAACCGCCGGTTAGCGGCTAACTGAAAACCGAAAGAAACGATTCACGGTCGGTTGGCGGAAACTGTCTGTGGGGAGGTGATTAGTCGAGTAACCGACGCCGGTTAACCGGCTAACCGGCTCTAACCGACCGACTGATACGACGCCGTTTTAGCCAGTGAGAAAACGACCCCATCCCCAACCCTAGACACTCTCGTATTCTCTTATACCATGATCCAACCCATCCTTTGCTCATCCAAACGGTCTAATTATTAGTGTCTATCACCCTTTTCCTCCTCATCTTGTAATAATCTGTCTTTGGTCAAATACCGTCACCTAGCTTATAGTTATTTATAGCGACCAACTTTTTCAGATCGCAGGTAGGATCTCCAGCAGATTTTATTCCTTTTATACACGAATACGACACCACCCCAAATTAGGCAGTCTTTTTTTTTATGAAGAAAAGACGATTACCCTGTCTTAATTAAATCCTCATCCATGGTGGAATCCAGCGAGGCACATTAATCACCAATTAGGTGAGTTCAGGTACCCTGATTAGACCCCGAAACAATGGAGCAGAGAAGCTAGATCCAAACACAGCATATTAATTATTGCTCATAAAATAAGTTTTGCAGATAGATTAAGCAAACAAACACATGCATTTGTGCAGAGAGATTAGTCATCTGCATCAAAACCACATTTATTGATGGGGCTACCTACCAATGCACGCGCCAGATCGCACTTGGAAAAAAAAAAATTAGCCCTAAAAAGCTCCGGTAGCCACATTGGATGCTGCCACCGGCTGTGGCATATAGGCAGAGAGATTCCGATGCTACGCAGGAACTGCTAATTCCGTCGAGTTAAAATAAAGGTGCCCATCCACTTTGGATTAGGGGAGAGAGTGGGTAAAATCGTCAATGCATGGTTTGAATGTCCAAAAAGACTTATCAATATAATCGATGTTGGAAGAAGTTTAATCGTGGATCATATATCACAACACTAACATATCCCCTCAAACGAAAGCCACTCACAGGGGCTTGAAGTTCACACAGGTCTGAAGAGAAGAATACCATGTGCTTAACAAATGGGGGTCATTGGGAATCGAACACAAGACCTCTCAATCACAGAAGACTCTGATACCATGTCAAGAACCAGTTGATCCCAATAACTCGAGTTGTTGGGAGAGGTTCAATCGTGGATTATATACCACAACACTAACAGGAAGGATATGAAGTTTGTGGTCGTTGTCCTGAGGGGAGGGTTGTCGTTGTACAGTCCAAGTACCACATCGTATATACAAAGAAAATGATCCATGTATATAAGTGTCCACCAAACTCCACTATTATGAGGCTTTTTGAAGAGGATACCCAAAAGTAAATTTTAGTATAAGTACTAGTTCACAGGAAAGGTAGCACACTCAACTACTAAAATGACATTGGTCTCTTTTCTCAAATCCTAAGGTCTAAGAAATAAAGAAGTAAAAACTAAACACTTACCATTGGTCTCCCAAGCACTTGGATCAGTGGTTTCATGCATTGTGTCACCCAAAACAGGGTGCAGATTCTTTGGAATGGGCAACTCTCTCAACCTCTCACTCTGACTCGAGGTGTTCGCCAGGGAGATCCCTTATCCCCTTATCTCTTTGTACTTTGCATGGAACGTCTTTCTCAATTGATTGATGAAGTTATCTCTAATGGTCAATGGAAAGCTCTTAGGCTCTCCAAGAATGGCCCGCCCCTCACTCATTAAACAGTGTCTGGGTGACTTTTGCTCTAGCTTTGGCCAGCGGGTGAATTACCACAAGTTCATCCTCTATGTCTCTCCCAACATCAACCGAGGAAGAGCAAGCCATATGAGCCAACAAGCGGGCATCCCTCTGAAAATGGCTCTTGGCAAGTACTTGGGCATTCCGGCGATACATGGCCGCGTGACTAGAGAGAGATACCAACCTCTTCTCCTTCGCATCCAGAAGAAGCTGGCTCCATGGAAAGCTAACCGCTTATCCTTCGTTGCACGACTTACAGTGGTTAATTCGGTTTCTGCTTCTATCCCGGTTTATAACATGAATACTGAGATTATTCTCAGTGGTGTGTGTCACAGTATTGACAAGCTAAACAAGGATTTTGTCGCGGAGGAGGAGAATAAGAACAAAATGCATCATGTGGCTTTGGACAAAATGGCGTTGCAAAAAAAGCATGGAGGGGTGAGCATCCGTCCTACCAGACATGCCAATCTGGCCATGCTGGCGAAAGGCGGATGACGGCTCATCAAAGAGAAGGAGACTCTCTGGTCTCAAATCATGTAAGCCAAGTATGGTCGTCAAAGAGAGAACCTGGACATCCTCTGCAATTCTCAGGGAAGTTCCTTCACCTGGAAAAGCTTCTCTAAAGCTGCTGATGTGTTAAGAAAGGGGTGTGCCTGGAATATTAAGAACGGTAAATACACTAAGTTTTGGTTGGATCCTTGGGTTTTGCAGGGGGGCCTGAAGGAAGTGGCAATTAATCACGTTGCTGAGGATATGGAGCAAATGACGGTAGCTGAGTACGTGACAGCTGAAGGAGCTTGGCGCACCGACATGTTCGAGGCCTTCCTCCCTGCCAAGGTCTGCCAGAAGATTCTTAGTGTGGTTGTTGACACACTCTCTAACAAGGAAGATACCCTCTTCTGGACTGCTTCTCCGGACGTAAACTTTTCCACCAAGTCGGCTTTCACCCTCCTCACTCCGCAGCCTCCAGATCCGGACGAGAAGCTCTTGAAGACGGTCTGGTCCCTACCAGTCCCGGAGAGGATCCGTTGTTTCTTGTGGCAAACATGCACTGGGAGGATTGCCACTAATAGCCTCCGTTTCCACAGGAAAGTTGCTACGAATCCGTTCTGTCCGAAGTGCCCGGGGTCGCTAGTGACAATCTTGCACACTCTTAGAGACTGCCCTCCAGCCACCTTCTTCTGGCTTCGGCAGACCGGGGGAATGCAGCAGCAAGACTTCTTCACTCTTGACCAGAAATCTTGGTTGTGCAGCAATCTCTCGAGTACGGATGCGGTGGCGACAGGGATGCCTTGGCCTGCTTTCTTCAGTACGGCGTTGTGGCTCATTTAGAAAAATCATTGTGTTCTTTGTATGCAGGGTACCGGAGCGGCTCTCACCCCGCCATCCCTTGAGCATTCGATTATGGCTAAGATGAAGATGTGGTATAATGCTTGGCTAGCCCCTCCTCTCCTCCCTTCCAATAGAATTCGGCCCGCCGACAGAATTGAGGAGGAAGTGGGTTGGAAGCCGCCGCAAGATGGATGGATCATGCTCAATACCGACGGAGCCTCCAACGGCAATCCTGGGGCAGCAGGGGCTGGCAGAGTGTTGCGCGATCCGATGGGACGCTGGGTTGCAGGCTTTGTCGCCAACCTCGGCACCGCCACGATGATCCTCTTGGAGCTTTGGGGAATCTCCTTCGGTCTGGACATCGCTTGGAAATATGGAGGAAGAGCTATTCACATTCAGACCGACTCGCAGCTGGCGATGCAGCTCATTAAGGCTAGACATGACCCGATCCACCCTTATGCTACTCTCCTTTCCGCCATTCGCAGGAAGCTCAACCGTGACTAGTTGGTTCGCTTAACGCATACTTACCGGGAAGGGAATAGAGTCGCGAACTGGCTCTCGAAGCACAGTCTCGTCTATCCCTACGGTATGCATGAGTTAGCGAACTCTCCTTCGGAAATTAATCCCCTTCTTCGGGATGGCATCATGGGCATCACCATAACCCGTATGGTGGTTGCTACCTCTTCTTCCCCCCTTTTTACCTCCCCCATGTATTTTTCCTTCTCTTGACTTTTAGCCTCCTTCTAATGCAAAAAAATAAAATTAATAGCCAAAGTTTATACAATGGTGATCGAGTTGATGATATAAAGTATTTGTTGAAAATGTTGAGAGAGATATCAATGTGAAGAGTATCAATAGCCTTCAAGCTGGACATTTACCATGTTCGAAGAACACATAATTCAAAGGCGTTCATTTGTGTACATATGGTAATTTCAAATTTGATAAGCGGAAGATGAGGAAAACACATCAAAAGGGAACTAATTCTACAAGTTAACTATTTAGGGTGCACGGTAAGGGGTGGGAATGAGATGCAAATCATTTTTTCTTCCAACTACAATCCCAAACACTTCGGTCATGTCGAGATCTTCGGGTTTCATTTCATTTGGAAGCTTCCAATCAAAGTGATAGAGCAAATTCGCGACTGCAAGATGGACAATAGCCATCCCGGTCTTCACGCCAGGGCACATTCTTCTCCCAGCTCCAAATGGGAGGAGCTGGAAGTCATCGCCGTTATAGTTAACGGGACTGTTGACAAATCTTTCGGGCATAAATTTATCCGGCTCGATCCAGTACGCGGGATCTCGACCGATCGCCCACGCATTTATCGCCACCTTCGTTTTTGCAGGTATCTGGTACCCTTTGATCACGATCGTCTCTCGGCTCTCTCTCGGAACCAACAACGGAAGCGGCGGGTGCAATCTCAGAGTCTCTCTCACGATCAGCTTCATGTAGTGCAGCTCATCAATGCTCGCTTCATCTACTGCCTTTCCTTTTCCGTCAAACACTCGTCTAACCTCTTTTTGTGCCTTTTCCATCTCTTCTGGGTTCCTCATCAGTTCAGACATGACCCATTCTATGGTGACAGAGGACGTATGGGTCCCACCGAAGAATATGTCCTGCAACACATTACATTAACTGGAAATTTAGTAAAAACACGTATGGATTGGTTGTACTATACGATGTGTCAGTACTTAATATAAGATCAAAATTGTTGAACATCTCCCAACAATTCAAGTTATTGGAACCAACTACCGTAAAACTATACTCACAGTGATGACTGCTTTGATCTCAAAATCGGTGACCGAGAACTCGCCGGTGGCGACGGCCTTATCACGAGTGAAATTCAGCAGCACGTCGACGAGATCCTGATCATCACCACCACCAGTTGCACGATCAACGTCAGATCTCCTTCTGGATACATGTGCATCAATGATTTCTTGGAGTATGGTATCAGATTCAGCATGGAGCTTCTTCAGCCGTCTATCATTCCTGTCGGCGACCATCCTCAAAACCCAGCTGGACGGAAAAACGTCCCTCAGACTGAGCTCTCCAAGGGCCTGCACGTAGAGGTGGCAAATGGATTGGATTGGTGGATCTATGGATCAAATGAATTGGATCTAATGGATTGGTGGATTCATGGATTGGATCAAGTAGATTGGTAGATTATCCATGAATCCAAATGACATCCTCAACCAAGATCCAATATGTAGAATGTGAAAAGTTTAGGTATTAAAATGTCATAATGAAAATTTTTAGGTACCAAAACGTAATTTTCCAATGATATTTTTGTATAAACATTAAATTTTAGTTACCAAAATGTAAAAAATAAAAATTATAGGTTCTAATTGTAATTTGCCAATGATCCATGGACCCAATCCATGAATCCACCAATCAAATTGGATTTGGATCAAATGGATTGGATTAGTTGGATATTTTTAATGGATTGGTGGATTGGATTGAAATTGCCTCCTCTACCTGCACGATCCGATGCTGGACCGAGAAAAACGCTTCCTCCATCTCACGGGCCTCCACCCCGCCGAACGCGGCCCGCCAAATAATCTTGCAGACCAGCGAGCCCAGGATCCGGCCCAAGTTCACGATCTCACCGGGCCGGATCGAGCCCACCATCGCCTTGCGGACCTCCTCCTCCCTTATGGGCCGCTGCGAGCCCACGCGCTTGGTGCTCATGAGCTCGAGCGTGCAGATCTTCCGCATCTGGCGCCAATACTCGCCGTAGGGTGCGAACGCGACGTCTCTGTGGTTGTACAGGATGATGCTCGCGGACTGGACGATGGGCCTGGTGGCGAAGTTGAGGTCGTGGGTTTTCATGAACAATTGGGCGATTTCGGGGGATGAAACGACGACGTTCGACGTCTCGCCGATCTGGAGGTGCATCAGGCCGTCGGGCCCGTGCTGCTGGGCCAGGTCGCGGAAGCGGCGGTGAGGGAGCAGGGAGGAGAAGGCCAGCTGGTGGAGGTTTCCGATTATGGGCAGCTTCGTTGGGCCTGGTGGCAGTGTTGGGCCGGGAGTAGCGTGGGCCAGCTTTTGCTTCAGGAGGATGGTGGTTAGGAAGAGGATGATGATGAGAGTGGGGAGGAAGAGTGGACTGAGACTGAGAGTGAGTGTTTCTACTTCCATCCAATTCCATAATGATGTGCTGATCGCCATTGTTGAAGTTTCTTCCCTGTCTCTGTTTCCTCTGTTTTTTTTTTTTTTGCAGTGGTGGATTGATGAATGGCAGCTTGAACCAACAACTGGTGTATACATATTTTATACAGAGGAGAGAGGACCCATGTAGAGTGCTCAACTACTACGCTTTTGGAAGCATTGGTACTTCCAATTCCAAGTACCGAGTTGAATCTGTAAAAATTATTGCTAGTAGCTACAACCTGAATTTATGCAATAACGTTAAATATACAAGTGCACTTTATAATTTATAATATAACAAAAAAAAAAATTACAGACAAAATTTCCAAGTATTGTAAAATGCCTCACTGCAGCGATTTTAAGTTTATTATAGAATGCGTTTGTTAATATCTACAAATATAATTTATTTATTTACTCCGTCAAACAAATTAATTTATTTACGAGTGCCATAAACATTCCAAGATTTGGATCTACTTTTAGTAATCTGCCCCATCAAGTGGCACATGGGAACTTGTTGAGTTTGAAATTGATTCGTAAAACCAAATTATACAATTTACATAACCTTCCAAGATTTAGATCTCCTTTTAGTAATCTGCCCCATCAAGTGGCACGTGGGAACTTGTTGAGTTTGAAATTGATTCGTAAAACCAAATTATACAATTTACATAACCATAAGTAACCCATTCATCGGTTCGTGTTAGATATATAATTTTTTCCTCAATTAATTTTGACGAACTTATCATTTTCATTTTAAGTCCTAATTTAACTTTTTAATCACAAAAAATCAGATTATCTGTGTTCTTGAAAATGAGATTTAATTTGAATATATTTATTAAAAAAATTAAAACATATATTACCAATATACCACGATGATAATACTTGATAACATATAAAAAAGGCATAAAAACGAACTAAATCATTAACGTGTCGATTTCGATCTGCTTGTAACCTACTCCTAACCCACCCACCATATTTATTAGATAAAAACAATTAGTATTATAGTTTCTTTCTTCTTTTTGTTGTTTATATATTAGGTTTTGGCTGGTTCTTTTTTTTTTTTTTAACAAGGTTTTGGCTGGTTCTAACCATTGGATTAGTAAATTCAATTATCACCACATTCTATATATATAATCCTTTTTATACTTATTGTTATTGGCTTGGTTAGGGCAGTAGGCATCAAAACACTTCCTACTCCCCTCACCCCACCTCCACCACTGACCACCCACAACTAGAAGTTAGGATGAACATTGAGATCATATTAACAAATTGCGGAAACACATTTTAAAATGAATATACATTTGATTCGATATGTAGAATCAACGAACGGTCATATAACTAGGAATCAAGTTGATATAGAAAGACAAAAAAAAAATTGAATCTGAGATTGAAATGCATTCAATTCGATTTGTCTTTGACTCAAATTTGATTTGGTATGAATTTAAACTCTTAAGAAATTCAATGGAAAACTTAAACAAATCAATAAAATACCGCACTAAGAAACACATAAATTGAGCCTAGATTTAGGGATTTAAGAGGAGAATTAGAGAGGATTAGGATACAATTTAGGAAGATTTGGGAGGTGACAGAAAGAAGTGGTCGACAACCAATTTTAGAGAGAAATAGATGAAATTAGGGTATGGGAGATGACTGATAATTGTTTCATCATTCTCTTCTTGATTCAGAAAGAAAGAGCCTAAGTATATATTTATGCAGAAAAAGCCACAAAACCCTACAAATAACCCTACTCCTAGTCAACCCCTAACTGGCTGCCCAACTCCCTAAAATGGCTAACAATAATATTGTTATTAATAGAGTTAGATTTCACTACATCACTTGAACTATAAAAAAAATATCGTCAATTGTTCAATATAACAATTCAAACACAAAGTTTCATTTTCATTAAGTTTATTAACTTTGACTGTTGGTACGGTCAAAACTCTTAACTTTCTAATCCGAAATCCAATTTGCCACATCCAAATTCGAGTTTTCAGATCACCAACTCGGAAGACAAGCATTTTGAAAGGAGGATATAAAATTGGGATTTGGAGAGACTCTTTTACTTCCGCAGGTACCTATTAGGATTTCCCACGGGAACTTGCGTTGCTGCTATCCATTCAAATTTTGTACATGTGACTTGCAATTGGTGAAGGAAGCGAAAGAGGTAATTATTCAAAAATGGTTATGTAAGTACGAGAACGAGAGTCTTAACACACATTCATTACATATACGAGTACTTTACGTGCACAACTACAAAATGGACTTTTACTTTGTATACCAATATTATTATTCTAACTCGATAAAAAAAGTCGCATGCTGACATTCTTCTGTAGCCAAAGACGATTCAAACATCTCCAATCAGAGAGTGGAAGGAGAAGTATTACAAACGTCCGAAAGTGAATCGTGACTCAAACTATAAAATAATTCAAACCATTATTATCCTCATGGATTTCCTAAACGAACACGTCCGTGCTACTAAAGAGAAAGTTAAACTCAAAACCTTCAAATTCAAGACCAATACTAATACTAATACTACCCGTACTTGATGGCTTCTAATTCATATAGTCATATAATTATTAGATATTTGTATAATAATCCCATACAAATTAGACTACATAATCTATACACACACTTAGGTTTGCTACACTACATGGAGAGAGCTCCAAATAACAAAAAAAAGAAAACCCCCAAAAAAATCCCAACCTTCATTTTCTAACTAGGGATCAGAAACTACTATGAGCAAAACTTTGACCAAATCTTGACCCTATCTATCTATATCTTCATCCACTTAGCTGCTGCCACTGCTGCTGCTGCTCCTCATCAGCCTCAGTCGCTGCACAGACCCCATAAAGCTCCTGCAAACCACCATACTCTGTTATCGTCAATTCTCTGCCCACCCACAACTTGAAAATTCAAGCAGGTAGCAAGCTATGGGCTATGGCTTATGTAATCTAATGTCACGGCACTGGGGTAAGTTTTGCTACTCGGTGTCTGGATCACGTGAACGAGTGATCTGGTACCTAAGATATACGCATTGACGTTGCGTACATAAAACGACATCTGAGTTTATCTACAGGCCGAGATGATGAGATCACTCGTCCACGTGATATTGATAAAACACGCTGCCTATTCTTATCAGTAAAAGATTGCGAGAGTGGTACGAATGGAAGATGTGATGAGATGCATTAGAGTTAATACACGAGAATGATAATATTTCGTTCACATTCTAACGAATTTCGATTTATGGGTGTGGTTTGATGACTATTAAGCTAGGAGGTGATATAAAAAAAAATAAGGAGGTATTGGAATAGAATATATATACCTCCAGGAGATGTCGTCAGCTAATAGCCAGTCGCCTTCAGAATCCTGATACGTAAGCTGATACTCGCCGGCGCCGCCGTCCCAGGGATTCTCTTCCGCTACATCGAAACAAAAACAGGACAAAAAAAAAAAAACAGAGTGAGTCGTCGGTGAAATGGTCTCATCACTGTGATTACGCTGGCGGAGTCAAATATTTGTTCTTTTTTTTTCCATTTGTGCTTACGTAATCCGAACATAGCGAAGAGTTGCCGTCGAAGGGAAGGGAAGGAATCGTGAACTGCAAGATCAACTTTCCTTCCGATCCCGACGCCGTCCATCGTCACCTTGACGTACATTGACGTGGGTCCATCTCCACATTCCTCGGAAGAAGGAGAAGACCCATCGACGATCATCATCGTCATCAGTTGATCTCTGTGATTCCACATCTTCTTCTTCTTCTTCCACCGGAAACTAATCGGCGGCCACCCCACAATCCCGTCGCCGTCGTTTTCATCTCCTTCTTCTTCATCCTCCGTCTCAATTCTGCTTCAAAGATACAAAATTCAGAAACACCCCAAATCGTCAAAATCCACAATTCACTGAAATGTAAAAAAGAAAAACAGGGGAATTGAGGGGAATCGGTACTTGTTGAGAACGACAGAGCAATTATCGTCGTTGTCGTCGCCGCCTCCTCCGGCCAATTGCAATAAGGGTAGCGTTTTGAGATTTGTGGGAAGATGATCGTCCTCGAAAGACTCGATGAAACGGCAGCGTTTCCTGCTGTTGACAGCAGAACACTCTGTTCCATCGCTTCCATTGTTGGCGACCGGAAGCCATGATTGTACGATCACCTCGTCGTTTGTGTAATTACCCATATCGTTATTATCATTACCGAAGATGAAGCTGTTGCTGGATTTGTTATTGGAGGTGGGAAGAGCGAGACCCAGCTGAAGCTCCATGGGGAAAAGAAAATTTACCCTGTTTCTTCTTCTTCTGGTTTCCTAGTGGGCAGTGGAGTGAGATCGGTGCAGAAAGAAAGGAAGAAGCGGTTTGTGAATTTAAGGAGACCGAGTTTGGGGAAGATTGGGTGCTTTTTTGGGGGAGAATTTAAAGGGGGAGAGGTGAAATTGGCAAACAATAAAAGAGAAAAAGGAAGAAAAAACAGAGGAGGGAGAGGCAGGGGACAAGGTGGAGGCAACAGTAGATAGGGTGTCTGCATCGTTGCTCCACTTTTCCCCGACCCGTTTCTCTTTCTATCTCTTCCTCTCTCTCTCTCTAGAATTAGAGGGGGGAAGAAGAGTAGTTTAGTTTGGTTTGCTATTAATGGTTTCCCCATTGAAGCGGGAACCACAGTTGAGAGGGAGGAAGGAAGAGGAAGAAAGAAGTCTCTTTCTTTTGCCGCCCAAATTGAACTTTTTTCCCCCTCTGTTTTCCGGCGATTCTGCTGCTGCCCTGCTCGTGCTGAAGACTGTTGCTTAGGCTGCGGCCGATATGCTCTACTGATTTAGTCGTTCGTTCCATTAGCATCGTGCTGATCACCATCTCGTTTGTTAATTAATATTTGACGAACATTATACTAATAATACACAAATGATAGTATTCCAAATTGTGAAGAGGAGGATGAGTTCGTTATCAATCACAAACTTTTTCGATTTCGGATTTCTACACAGTTACTCTTATGTTTCGAGGATTTA